CTCTCCACCCCAAAACTGGATTCACCGCAATCCCAAGCCTCCAAAATTTTCTCCACCCTCCCTCACCAAAACCGACCCTTCCTCTAGTCTACATACATTCAAAATTTTTCATATATCTCACCATAAATCTTAGCTTAAGTTGGAGGAGATGAAGAGGAGTTCAAAGGTTTTCAAGAGAGAGTTCTTCACGGGTAATTTCTTCAACTCTTCTCCATTATTTTTCTAGCCAACTTTAAGCTTGAATTTATGGATGTAATTTGTGGTTCTTGAGGAGATAAATTGTAATAAGGGTGTGTGAGTTTATGTTGGTTTTGGGAGTTTTGAGGTTAGTTTGATTAGCATTATGTGGTATGTTTATACTTGGTTGAAGCTTGCCTTTTTTTTTTTTTGGTTAGAGGAAAAATTTTTCGGCTACTTTGAACGCAAAAATAAGGACCCTAGAGCGATATTTTTCAGTGATTCAAAGCTTGAACTTATAGTTCTTGATGTTTTGAACATTTTTCAGTGAGTGTGATAAAATGTGACTTTGACTCTAAATGCAAGTTTTAAGCTATTTTTCAAAATAGTACAGGCTGCCCAAAACAGTTTAAAAAGAAAAAACTGGCAGCCACTGGTTCAGCCAAATGAGACCTTTAAAGGCTAAATATCGGTTTTTTTAAAAAATAACAATTTTAGATCTTGACGAGATGAAGAATTTTCATGAAGAACAGATTTTCAAAATCTAAACCTAAAATGTAGTAAAACGCAGATTTCCATTTAACAAAAGGTTACCAAAGAACCCGAAATGTGATTTCAGTAAAATATTATAGTTTTAAACCTCGCTTAAACGAGGAATAGCCATGAAGAAAGATTTCAAAAAAAAAAAAAAGGTTTCTACAACATAGCTACACGGTGGTTTACAAACTAACCGTAAAATGAGTTGTGAATAGTATCAAAAGTCGGTATTCGAAAAGAGATTTTATAATGGGATTTTAGTGCTTGTAACTAAATAAGTGAGTAATCGATTTTATAAAAATTGAATGATAGCTTCTTTTAAAAGCTTAATAGTTTTTTGAGCAAATCCACCCGACGGGCACCTACGAGCCCAATACGTTAGGTCCTTAAAATCTCGAAGATGGAATGTGGGTCCAACGCCCGCATTAATTCAAGAGACCCCGTTTGAGCTAAATTTCAACGGCCTAAGAGTTAGAACGCCGCGAATAAGTTCTAGGCCGAATTGGGCCTTAATATCATAGCAAGGAAAATTATGGAGAATAAATTACTAGATTGGGTAATTAATTTTCAATCTAGGCAAGTAGTTGTTAAGGGCAACTAAGGAAAATAAGATTTTAAGGATTTAATAAATTGATCCTTATTATCCTTTAGTAAAGGAGAGGAATACATGCCTTAAGGAAAGGGTTAGATTTTCCTTCATAAGTTGCAAAAACAGAATAGCGAACGGCAGTTAAGCTCACACTCTCAATAGGTGTTCATTTTCATATGTAAGTACCTAAGAGACGAGGCTGTTAGGCGAAAAAGAAATTTCAGCTCTGTAAATCAGGTAAGTAAGAATCACGCCTACAGTATAAATAGATTTTAAAGTGAATAGTACACATGAATTATATGTGTTTGAGTACTTTCAATGTTATGTATGCTATTCTATGTTATGCTACATACACTTAAGAAGTGCACATGAATTATATGTATTTGAGTACATTCCACGTTATAGAATGCTATGCTATGTCATATTGTATACACCTTAATAAGTGAAGAGGAACTTATAAGAATAATCTTAGTTAAGTGTCGTACCAGCCTCTGAGAGGGAGGTGACTCAGGCTCCCAAGGGAGAAGAACAAAAAATATAATAATGTCCTCTAAGAGGGAGGCATTCAGTTCAATTATAATCACGGTGTCGTGGGGGACCGTGCAAACCCTCACGTCCCAATGATGCCGCACAAATGGTACGAGCACTCAAGCCCATTAGCAAGAAAGAAAGATAAGAGAAGATAATAAGACTCTGATAAGACATCATAATTAAGTATAATTGGCTCATGCATATTTATTCATGTGAACTTACAGTTATTTTACGAGAGGTAGTTCCTACTTGCTGAGCGAAAGCTCATTATAGAATATTTATACTGTAGGTAAGTAACCGGCATATAATGCCTGATGGACTGACGGCGAGTGCATGAACGATGCGGAGATCGGGAAATGGATACCGCTAGCAAATATTTCCGCAGTCCATTTTATGTTATAAATATTTTTGCTAATTATGATTCTGAAACTATATGTTAAATGGTTTTGTGGATTATGGTTATTAGTAAGCAAGACTTAAAGTGTAGGTATATACATATAGATATATTTATATGCTTTGAGAAACAAATATGTTAAGGTTTGAATATCTTAATTAAGAAAGCAATTCGTAACTTATGTTTACTATAAGACTTTTAAAAAAAATATGTTCCGTAAATTTTAAGAAATTTCAGTAAATACAAGTTAAAACTCAGCTACAGTGGCGGCCTCCTAGGAGGGTCGTCACAGAAAAAAGTGAAAAGAACACTGAAATTTAACTTAGAGACTGTAAAACCCTCCAAAATTAAACATATTTAATTATGATAATTATGGTTTATTAGTGTGCCTAATTTGATTTTCACAATTAATTAAGGAACTTTTAATTATTTTCAGTATTTATGAATTCACCCCAAAAGTTTTTGAAAATACACTAAAATTTTAATACATTTTCCTTTTTTTCCATTTTTCTTTTTTCTTTTTCTTTTATTTTCTTTTTCCTTTTTCTTTTTTTTCTTTTCTTTTTCCCCTTCCTTTTTCCTCCCATGCAGCCCCTCCCCCAGACCCCACTCTCTCTTTCCTTTCTTTCTTTTCTTTTTTTCCTTCCTCGGGTTCACCAACTAGAGCCGCCCCTCTCTCTCTCTCTTTCTTCCTTCACTGCCAACCACCACTGGTCGCTCTCTCTCTCCCACCGGCATTCTCTTTCTCTCTCCCTTGCTCTCTCTCTGGGTTTCTCTCTCTCTCTCTCTCTCTCGGCAGTTTGGCCGAGACACACAGAAAAAAAAATGAAAACGGGAGAAACTAAGAGAAACAAGGCTCCATCAACTAATTTGAGGTAAAACCCCTTGAAACCCACTCTTTGATTTGAATTTTAAGCTTGAGAATGTTTAATTTTGGTTAGATTTGAATAATTTTGAGTTAGGGTTTATATTTGAACAGTTGTTGAAATTTAATGAAATTTGGGGATTTTCAGTTATTGGACTTGTTTAATTGATTGGCAACTGGTTTTGATGGATTCTGGATAATTTATTTTGAAATTGAACTTGAATTGCAGGTTTGGCATTTTTCCTATTTATGCCGGCATGTTGCCGAAATTTCTTTAAAAACTTGTTTTTAAACTGAAACTAAATAGGAAACCAAACCCATGGATTGGATATCAATTTTTAAAGAACCCCCAAACTGAATTATAAAATCATTTGTGAAACTTGGATTTGAGTCAAGGCACACTAATAGGAAACAATTAAACATGATTGGGCTTGATTCGTTTTAGGAATGAGAAATATATCCTAAGACACTGCTTTTGTCATAAACCTAGTGAAGAAGATCGAGTATTAAAGCTTTAAGGCAAGCGGAGCTAGGGCTACATGAAGATAGCCACAAGTTTGATATCCAAAAGGTAGGATATTCTTGTCCATATCCTTGTTAGCCTCATTTTGAATGACTTTGGCCCATGTAAATGTTTTAGAACAAAACATATTTAAAGAAAATGATTTCAAAGGAATAGCATGAGAATGCTATCAAGTTTTCCAATGATTTTGGAAATGAGATTTTAAAAACTATCATTTCTTAAAATGAAATATCTTAAGAAATGATACAACGCTTGGTGGCCACAAAAATCGGGATATAGGAATCATATCCTTGGGGGCAGGTCCCGAAACCCGTATGGATCTACTTCTTGCTCAGTAGAATTATGGCTCTGCACTTTTCACTAGACAGACATTTTACCACTTCTTGTTCAGTGGTGTGATGATCTACACATTTTCATTATACATATATTTTCTACTACTATGTGAGTATTTCCTTTTTCTAAAAAGGATTATCGGTTCCGGGTGTATGCCTTCAGACCGTGAGAACCTTTACTTATTATGTTTTATAAAATTACATCCTACTGGGCCTTCCGCTCGCTTTTCTTCTTGTTAAATGTATTAAACCCCCTCCAGGCGACGTGAGGAGTAGTGCGGAGTAGGTAGCTACTACCGGTGAGGTGAACTCGTCCCCGAGAAGTGAAGAGTTGTATTTCCTCTTTTCCTTATCTCAAGGCATGTATTAAATTATGGATTATAAGCTTAAATATTGTTAGACTATGGTTGATGTCACATTTACTTTTGTACATATTCATGTATGCTAAACCTGTGGGAGTTCCTGACATGATACCAAGGATGCGGTTTTAAACTGGTTTGGTTGGGAATTACACCACCCTTCTTAAAATTAAATTTCTCTTAAATGCAAGGGCTTGTTTGGAAATACCTGGATGTTTTGGGTTTGGAAAATTAAAATGTGTGCACAGTTATGTGCTAATCACTTTCTTAAACAGGTTTAAGTTTCTTTACAAGCCTCCATATCACTAACCCCTATTTGGGGGCGTGACAAGACTTGGTATCAGAGCCCTTGGCTTAGAACCTTGGGGTTTGGAATTATGCATACATGAATGACATCAGGAAACCACTAAAATGGTCTAGCTTTCTTTTCAATTAAGAGGATGCCGCCATGCCATAGGAACGTTAACCCGTCGGCAATGCCGAACGAGCAATTCATGGAAGCAATGTATGCAGCCTTCTAAGGAATGGCTACAAGAGCCCAAAATGAACGTCCTGTGGAAGATAGAAAACATAGCTACTTCCATGAGTACAAGCGTAGTTCAATTCCTGCATTCATTAGCGCAAATGGACCCCAGGAAGTCGAGTATTGGTTTGAAACAGTGTCCAAGCATCTGAGTACCATGAAAGTGCCGGATGAGTACGGAGTTCACAGCTTTTAAGTTTGAAGGTCCAGCTGGTGTGTGGTGGAAGTGGATCCGGCGAATGCGTGATGTAGAGGGGATGACTTGGGAACAATTCAAAGTGCTCTTTAATGAGCACTTCTTTCCTCCAAGTTATCGAGATGAGAAGGCCATGGAATTCATGGGCCTACAGCAAGGAGACATGACAGTGAGGGACTATAAAGCTAAGTTCAATGAGTTATCCCGTTTTGCTCCTTCCTTGACTGAGTCGGAACACATGAAGTGCCTTAAGTTTGAGAGAGGTCTTAAAGGTGTATTCTGGAAATCAGTGTTGGCCTTAAGGCATCGAGTCTACAGTGACTTAGTTGCAACGGCCATCTGTGTCGAACAGGAGCACATTACTTTCCTCCAAAGTTGAGAAACTTCAGGAAGAACTTCAGGAGGACCCCAAAGGAATAACAAAAAAACTCGTGATTAGGGGCAAGGTAGTGGCGGAATGCCTAGTGGCAGCAGTAGCTCTTCGGGAAATGGAAAGAGAAAAAAAAGGGAAAGATGGACCCCTACCGCTTTAAGTGCCACCATTGTGGGGAGCCAGGCCATATAAAAAGAAACTGTCCTCTTAAGAGCCAACAGGTGAACCAACAGACCCAGCAACCACAGCAGACTTAAAGGGGTGTTGCTCCTAGCCAAGACAGACCGCCACAGTTCACGCCTTATTATCTGCCCTTGTTGCCTGCCCAGATGCCAACTCCTTCTGCGCCGATCTTCCGTCCGCCAAACTACTCCTATTTTCGGCCACAGGCTTCGGGATCAGTATAGTCTACCCCACCACAGCAACAGTACAGGCCTGGAAACCAGATACCCAACAACAACGAGAGAGGAAAAGGAAAAGCACCGAGGCAGATGCATACCATGGCCGGGGGAAGTTCTGGAGCTCATGCCAAAAACCCAGTTGTAAAGGGTAGGTACCTATCTCACATTCTTTTGTACGAGTTTTGTTTAACACTGGTACTACGCACTCTTTTATTTCCACTTCTTTTGTGAAAGTTTTGGGTTTAAAACCCGATGACCTAGAGATCTCAATGTCCATAAACTCTCCACTGGGATGTGTGGAGGTGACTAGCATATGTAGGTCATGTGTGATCACGATTGGAAGTGAGAAATTAAAAGCAGACTTGATAATCCTACCCATGAATCTGTTTGATGTAGTGCTTGGAATGGACTGGTTGTCAAGATATGGAGCGATTGTTGATTACCACCGTATGAGAGTTACTTTGACTATCGGTTCTAGCACGATAGTAACGTATCAGGGAGGTGTCAACCCGATTTTAGAAGAACAACTATTGAGGCATACCGTCAGGGGACGGCAGAATTTAGCTTGTTTTACCTTCCTTTCAGCATTAGAGGGTGAATCCAGTATTGCCGGGGAGAATGTTGGGGTCCCCATGGTCGATTAATACGCGGATGTATTCCCTGATGAGTTGTCTGGTCTACTGCCCGACTGAGAAATTGAGTTTTGCATCGACTTACTTCCGGAGACGGCTTCGATTTCTATTGCTCCATATCGAATGGAGCCCGCGGAGATGAAAGAGCTAAGGAAACAACTCGGTGAGTTGGCAAAAAAATGATTCATTAGAAACAGCATTTCCCCGTGGGGTGCACCTGTCTTGTTTGCGAAGAAGCATGACGGGTCCCTTCGGTTGTGTATAGACTACCGACAATTGAATAGGGTTACCGTGAAGAACAAGTACCCATTGCCGATGATCGATGAATTGTTCGATCAGTTGGGAGGATCACGGTTTTACTCGAAGATCGACTTGAGATCAGGGTATCATCAGTTGAGGATTAGGGAAGAGGATATTCAAAAGACAGCATTCAGAACTCGCTATAGGCATTTCAAGTTCCTAGTAATGCCTTTCAGATTGACGAATGCTCCCGCCGCTTTTATGGACTTGATGAATCGAGTCTTCTGCCCGTATTTAGACCAGTTTGTGATAGTCTTCATTGACGACATTCTGGTTTACTTGAAGACTTGAGAGGAGCATGAACAACATTTAAGGATTGTTCTCCAAACTCTTCGAGAACACCAGCTTTATGTGAAAAAGGAGAAATGTGATTTCTGGTTGACAAAAGTCAAGTTCCTTGGACATGTTATATCTGGACAAGGAATTTCAGTGGATCCTTCAAAGATTGAAACGGTGGAACAATGGGAATGAACGAAGAACGTAGCTGAAATTCGAAGCTTCCTAGGACTTGCGGGGTATTATCGATGATTTGTAAAGGATTTCTCGAGTATTGCTACCCCAATGACTCGGTTGACTAAAAAGGAAGTCAAGTTTGAATGGGATGCCGATTATGAATATGCCTTCCAAGAACTGAAGGCTAGGCTAACTAGTGCGCCGATTCTGATGATCCCAAATAGCGATGAACCGTACGAGGTGTATTCCGACGCGTCAAGACGAGGACTTGGGTGTGTTCTGATGCAAAATGGACATGTTATGGCCTATGCATCTCGTCAACTGAAGCCACATGAGCAGAACTACCCCACGCATGATCTGGAGTTAGCAGTGGTGATTTTTGCTCTCAAGATATGGAGATGCTACCTCTACGGAGTAAAATTTCAGAGCTTCTCCGATCATAAGAGTTTGAAGTATATGTTCACTCAGAATGACTTAAATCTGAGACAGAGAAGGTGGATGGAGTACATGGAGGATTATGACTTTACCTTGCAGTATCATCCTGGAAAAGCCACCGTGGTAGCAGATGCTCTCAGCAGAAAGACTCCAAGAATCCTAGCATCTTTGGCCTTAGAGGACTGGAAAATGAGTGAAATTGTAGGTGACTATGATCTTCCGTATTATGAAGATTATAACCAAGCTATGGTGTACAACTTGGTTTCTACGCCAACCCTTATATAGCAAGTCAAGCAGAACCAATGACAAGATCCGCATCTTCAGGGAGTTTGGACTCGAGTTCAGAATGGAGAAAAACTGGATGATTGGAATATTCAGGAAGATGGAACGCTCTACTTCAAAAACCATCTTGCTATTCCTCAGGTGGATGAGATAAAGAAGACAATCCTTCACAAGGCTCACCAATCGACATTTGTTATTCATCCTGGGAGTACCAAGATGTATCAGGACCTCAAATGGCAGTATTGGTGGAAAGGTATGAAAAAAGATGTTCGCCAGTACATGTTAGAATGTGTGACTTGTCTTCGAGTCAAAGCTGAGCATCAGAAACCTGCTGGAGAACTGCAGCCTCTTCCTATTCCTGGATGGAAGTGGGAACACATTACGATGATTTTCTGATTGGATTGCCGAGGACTGAACAGCGGCATGATGCCATATGGGTCGTTGTGGATAGGTTAACGAAGTCCGCGCACTTTATTCCATTTCATGCGACGTATTCCACGAAAGTTCTAGCAGAGTTGTATATGGAGCACATTGTTAGACTCCACGGAGTTCCGTTCTCCATCACCTCAGACCGTGATACCCGCTTTAATGTGAAGTATTCGAGAAGTTTTCAAGAAGCCATGGGAACCGAACTGAATTTCAGCACCGCATTTCATCCTCAGACCGATGGACAATCAGAAAGAGTTATTCAGATTCTGGAGGACATGCTTCGTGCTTGCATTCTAGATTTTGGTGAAAACTGGAAGAAGTATCTCCATTTAGCTGAGTTTGCCTACAATAACAGTTATTAGAGTAGCATTGGGATGGCACCATTCGAGGCGTTGTATGGTAGACCTTGCAGATCGCTAGTTTGTTGGCTTGAGTCAGAAGATCGACTCACCCAAATTCCAAGAGGGTGTGAAAGGGAAACTCGCGCCGAGGTATATCGGGCTGTTTCAGATCACACAACGGGTCGGTGTCATTGCTTACCGCCTTGATCTTCCTCCAGAGTTGTTTCACGTGCACAACGTGTTCCATGTTTCTATGCTTCGGAAGTGTCAACCCGATCCAGAAGCCATTGTGCAATGGTATGACATGCCGATCCAGTATGACACGACTTATGATGAAGCACCAATACAGATTCTTGATCAGAAAATGAAAAGTCTACGTCTACGTGAGCTACTGTTAGTGAAGGTATTGTGGCAACACCATGGCATTGTGGAAGCAACATGGGAATTGGAAACGACGATGCAGGAATGATATCCGTATCTGTTCATATTGTAATGACCGGGAAAAAGTTAGGTCTAATCCGGACAGTCCGGTATTTGACCGAAATCCTTTCCGAAATAGTAAGTAGTAGAATTTTGATGTAATCAAGAAAATGTTATGTAGAAACTTTATGTACCAGGTAAAATTTCCCGAAATATATAAAGTTATAATACGAATATTCTTACAAAGAAAATTCATAAATATCAGTTATGAATAGTAAAATATCAGTTAAAAGTTAGAAATTTTAGCGCGTACATTTTAGTTATGAAAAACTGAAATATTTGGTTTGTGACCAAATGACTAGCTAGAAAAAGAGTATAAATATTAGAAGTAAGGAAAATAGCAAAAGTTTCTGAAACAGAAAATTCCCGAGTCAGTTAAAGCGGGAAACTGCTAAAAAAATGAGGATCGCAAGGGTAAGCGTTTTGGGCAATTCTGAATCAATTAAAATGAAAATTTCAGAAAAGAGAGATTGACTAATGAGATACCCAAGAAAATTGGGTTGAACATGAGAAGTTTGACCTAGGGTACTCGACAGTCCAGAAAAGCAGTATAGAACTTGTACCGGGTGTGAAATTATCGGTACCGGAAAGAGACTCATTTTGAAAAATGGAAAGTTAGGTCTTGACAAGAAAAATGTGGGGAACATAGAACCACTCAAATTAAGTGTTAAACTTAGGTAGAACTAGTAAAATTAAATTATGAAAATTTTAATTTAAAAAGTAATATTAGATATTATTGAAAATAATATTATAATATTCATTAATGTCTTAAAGAGTTCCACGGAGATATTAGAAGCCACTTTTGTCTTCTTTGCCTAAGTGTGGCTGACCAAGAAGAAAGAGAAAGAAAAAAAAAGTAAAAAGTAAAAAGGATTGTACCGTGAGGTGGATATATACCTCACATGCAGAATACCACTTGGCATTGATTTACGTTTGAGCTCATCAGCTTGATGACTCACGCTTAAGTTGGTAACTCACTTTGTAAAATCACCTAAGTTTACTAAAGCCATTACAATTACTCACGTTATGTACTTGTGAGTGTAAGACATAATATAGAAAAGAGAAAACAAAGCAGAGAGAGAGAGATTCGTAAAAAGAGAGACAAAGAAAGGTTTGTAAAGAAAAAAAAACGTGAGAGAGAGACGGAGAAAGGAAAAATCAAGCATTTTCACTGGGATTTCTGCTATTCAATCCGGTAGAAACGTAACCTGAGGCGTTCTAGCGAAAAACCTCAACTTCTGGAGGTAAGATTT